TTAGATTATCCCTCGCAAATGGCAGCCTGTCAAAAAGCATTTCCATACGTAATCCCCTTGTACTTTGGGAAGCCGAGCTGGCAGGTTGTCATGTCCGCGGCTGATAGTGGAGAAGTGGTTTGATGTTTAATTAATGGTGTTTTCTGTCGCCCATTGCTCAGACAGGGACCAGGACGGTGTGAGTGAGCACCTCTGAGGCTTGTCCGGGTCCTCAGAGCTGAAATGTGATCCAGGAGCCAAGGTAAAAGTGACAGCGGTCAGATGACAGGCGGCTCAAAACAAACAGACGCATTTGGGAGGATGGATATTAGCAAAAAGGGAAAGGAGGATTCAGTGTTTACGAGGGGATCGGATGTGAGGTTCTTTTTAACTCTTTGACTGCCAGCCGTTTTTGATGATATCACTGATTCTCAAGACCCATAGAATATTATTTTCTAAGACTATGTGAAATGTGAAACCAGATTCTGAAAGACTGGATTGTCTACTTTCATCCGCAAAAATAAGTTTGCTTTTAGCTATTTTTATTGTCCTGTAATCCCCAGTTGAAAAGAGGGTCTCAGACTAATACGTCAATGGCAGTCAAGGAGTTAATAGCGAACTATCTGAATGACGTCACTAAGACACGCCCCCGCCGCCTGTCAACTCCCGCCCACATGTTTCGGACAAACACTGCCAAAATTAATCAAATACCTCTTGTCACTTTAGACGAAAATGATAAACCAGGGGCAAAATTCCACCATCAAACCATCAGGGATCATAGTGTAGACCAATTAAAACGTTGGCTTGAATGTCGTGGTCTTCCAGTGACTGGTAGAAAGTTTGATTTGATAAAAAGGTAATGGTGAGGATTATGCTAACATTATCTAGTCATTTAAATTGCAATGTTAGCGCCTTCTTTGTTTATTTTGCTCTGATTAACTTCCATTTATCAAGTTGTTTTTTGTACTGTCCATTTTGTAATTAGTTTGATCATTTAGTTAACTACAGTCAGCCGATATTATAATAGATCCATGGGGTCACAACGGGCTACACCACTACTGTCTCTGAGAGAGAAACTATCGGAGCTAGCTACACTCAGTAAACGCAAACGACAATCAATCAACATATTTAAATGTTAATGCTAGAATATAATATTCATACAACACACGTGCACAGAGGTTTTCAGAATTATCTGTTAAGGTTTTCATGACAAAAATACTTTTTTAATGCGACTAAAGCGATCGCTTTTTTAAAGTAGGTGAACTAAAACCTTTGGGAACTATTTTCTTTGCACTCATTAAATAAACCTTTTGGCATGAATAGTGACAGAAGTTTATTTTGTGTGTTCAGTTGGTACAAAGCCGTATAATAAGCGGACCCCAACGCGCTTCGTCTGTGCTTATTTTCCGATAGTCACGAAGTTGAAAAAATCCCTCTCATCTTTCTTCAGGTGTGAGAATTGTATACATTCTGGATTAGGACAAACAATACTAATATGGATTGATGGGGCTAACTACATTCAGAAGAGCTCAGACGGACCTGATACAGCGGTCCAGGTCCAGTCCCAGCTAAACGTAGCTAGGACTGGATCTGGAGGCTCCACAGTTGGTCCAGCGAAGTGTTTTGAAAAAACATGTCCTTTTTAACATTTTCATGAGAGAAATTCTGCTGACCACAAGCACCCACCTCTTGCACTTGTCCTGATCTGGTCCTGGTCTGGTCCTGGTCTGGTTCGATGGTGTGGTTTAACGAACAGGTTGAATGTTACTGCTTTCATATAGTCCTTTTCAGAGTATCTGAAATCGCTCCCACAAGCACCATAACTGCAGTGTTTTGTTGTCACCATGATTCAATGATTTAGCCCAAATAAATACACACGCTTATGTGGAGAACACAGTAGTACTCAACGGAGTCGGACAGAGTTTGTCCGAAACATGCGCGCATGCGCAGTCATTGGAACTATTTTTAGCACATTTCGGAAACCGGACAGTGCCCTATGTGTGGTGTGCCCAGAGAAGCTCCATAAGGAATGTGGCTGCCAATCTTCTTCTGCTTCTTCTTTCTGACCAACACTACAACCAACTACAAGAGTCTGAATCCACAACACTTTGAATACAGCGATCGTCACCTGGCTTTCCACAAACATTTTTCATACATATTTGTATTATACTTATCACGGTTTGTTTGTTTTTTATTGAAATCCCAATTAGCTGGTGAAATATACAGGAGCTATTTGTCCTCGGGTCTATTGATTCTAGCGTTCCTCTAATTATTATTCAAGCCCCACTTTTTGTCTGTTCCACATCACATTTCTGAGGCTAATAGTGATGTCCATAAGCAAAACAAATAGTACTCCCTCATAGTTATTCACTTCAAGTCCAACCTTCAATTAGTGCATCTTAATTTTTGTAAAATTGGACAATATTTACCCATGGGACAAGCATTTTCACTTTAGAATGAAAAGAAAGGCATTTTTGCTTGTCCCATTGGCAAAGTTGACTACATGCCGTAGTAAAGAAGTTCTTCTTTTTAGAACTTCCCAAAACTTGGAGGCAATAAATACTCAGAAAAAAGGGGAAGCGATTGGGTGCATCTGAATAGAATAAAACAAAATAAACCAACCCTACCAGGACGAACTATACGATTCATGTGAAGCCTAATCCAGAAATTGTTTTTGCCACAATTGACTGAGCAAATCTATGATAAATACTGAAACATTTCCATATGCTAGCACTTTAATTAATAATCTCTTTTTTGAGAGTGTCCTGGATTTGTGAGGATTTTAACAGCACTAGTTGTGAATGTTCTATACCTTTATACTGTTTATACTGTGCCTAAAATGTGTATCTGATTTCTACATGAAATTGCATTGACAAAAATAGATAAACAAAACAATCTTGCATCTCCATTTTCCCTCTCATTCCACGTATTGGATCACTTGTACTCCAAACAGTAGCATTAAGGCTTGAGACATTAATGGCACACAATCAATGACAAATGATGGCGCTGTTAATGGATGGTGTTGAATGTATTATGTGATTTCTAATACGGCTCCATCTGTTCCAGCTCATTAATCAGGATCATCATTTTTAAAAATTACACCGCAATCACCATTAGCCGTTAGCGTTCCTCTCCAGTGCACAAATCTCCAGTTAGAATATGGATATGGAATATGGTTCTGAAAGGTGAAATTTAATCAATTCACCAACATGGCAAACATTATTTAAAAGTTAATTATGTTATTAAGATGGAATGATGCTTCTATCTCTCAAAATATAATGGAGGTTTTATGGCAATTCAAGAGCAAACGATCACTGTATAGAGAAATTTAAAAAAAGTAACTCCCAAAACTTCAGCTATCTCACTCCAGCCACTCCATTTGAGATAACCATGAATCCTATGATTTTCATGAAATAATTGGTTGACTAAGACCCTTTTGTTAGACTAAGGTCGATATCACACTTCTACTTGTTAAATATGACTCTGTGGGACGAATAAAAGATCTCTTAATCTTAATCAACAGATCCAGTCAGGGAAAAGTGCATGACAATCTTCTGTTGCACATGGGAAAAACTAAATCGCTCAATGAATGATGAAGTATCCGATTACAGAGACAGACACATGGATGATCTTTTATGTAAAAGAGCGACAGAAGTGAGGGAGAGGAGAGATAATGTGAGTTCTTGTGAGAAAGTGCATCTGGGACAGGAGACAATGTGGAGACATGAAGCAAAGTCAACGTGGAACGTAGAAGCTCGACTCTTTCCGACGCAAAAGGACAGTGATGATCCGGGACATTTATGGACATTTATGGACATTTATGGACATTTATGGACATTTATGGACAGTGGTCGACCCTATGGTCAACCCGCCCCATATGGCCTAATGTGTTTATTGCATTTTTCATTACTTCATTTTTTGTGGGTACTGTTTGATTCTTTGATCAGTAAAATCCTCCAAGTCTTGCTGTTGTGAATTTAAAAAATTAAATTGGATTGAAATTGACTTTTTATATTATATTTATAAGGCCAATTTTTAACAAGTATCTTTTTGGCATTGGTCCATCTGTGTGCCTTTTAGAACAACATGTTTTTAACATTGTTTAGCAATGTGTAAATTTATCTCTTTGACCTGGGATGCCTGTAATAAATCCATGCAGGCCATAAATCTACAACGCTTTTTTCGCTTGAAATTTACTGCGCAATGAGGAAATTCTACAACCTGTGTGAAAACCCTTCCTTAAGACCTCAGTGACAGATTAATTGACTAAATGATTGAGCCCAGTGTTTGTAACAAGGATAAGTCATGTTGCTATGTGGAAAAATTTCAGAATGAGTTTATTAATCACTATAAACTTGGTATAATACAAAAACAAAACAATATTGTCAAAATTGCATGTACAGTGGGGCAAAAAATATTTAGTCAGCCACCAAATGTGAAAGTCCTACAAAGGCATAAGCTGTTTATATTATTTTGATATTCAATTCAAGTTATTTTTGTATAGTCCTAGTTTGTATATATCTCGGGGGACTTTACAAGCCGTCGACTCCCAAACACAGAGAATTTGTGCAATAATAAAAATCACACATGATATAATATAGCACACATTTGACCAAAGTATTGCACTATTCTTAAACCCCTATGGCCCATGCTAAACGAAGACTCTTAAGTACGTAGACATACAGCCACTCGCCGTTATTTAGCTACATTATTTCATACAACACTGCTGCAAATTGCCAATTCAGTTTTTATGGCATCGCGGCCAGTTAAAGTACACTAAGCGGACGCGCTGTCTACATTGTTTACCCGCCATAGCTGCGGCTCAGTGCGATGGCATTATCCGTGTATATCTCTGGAGCAGCCCATTGCCTCGTGCATGATTAACCCTTCGCGGTCGGTCTGCGGTCGGTTGTGCGTCATCTCCAATCCGCGCTGACAGCACTGGTCCTATTTGTTTGCGTCGGTGCTCGAGTGGGCGCACTTCATTGTGGCTTTAGCAGTTAATAAATCACAGCCCTCACCCAACCCTGCCCCCCCCATCATCCTTCCATCCTCCAACTCCCCAACCCCCCCCCCGACTTCCCTCCTGTGGGTGCCGTGGCGGTGGTCCTGTCACAAAGCAGGCACCGGAGTCGAAGAGACAGCTACATGCTAATTCAACACGACCATAATTCATTATACAGTCGCGAGTGTAGTGGGATGGAAAGACTACACCAGGAAAGAGCGGCACAGCGCCTGTTCAAACCAGGTCTACTTAAGCCCAGTATAGTGTATATTATGTACAAAAAAGCTTTCATGCATTGCACACAGCGTGGTATTAGGACTAAAAGCCACACTTGAAATCGGTGCAAAGCGGTGGCTGTTTAACGCACTTGACAAATGGAGCCGGAAAAGGAAGAATTAAGAAGAAAGGTCATTAAAGGCCAAGCAAAGGTTAACATAATTCAGAATAAGATGGAAGTATTACAAAGATATGGGATAAAATGTGATTAAATTGTAAAGGCGTTCTTACAAATGGAAGCCCAAATCTATCTTGGTCCATTTTAAGGACATCAGCTGATAGATTGCATACATGCAACTGGGTAATTTGATTATTTTTAATTCATTTAGTGTCTTTATATCCAAATTCATTGCTATAACTAGTATCTTCACTTCCCAGTTTTAGAAAATGTTTTATCTTGATGCAACAGAACTACAACAATACTCTGTAATGTCACACAAAGTACCATTGTTTTTAAAAATCATTGGTTTTGGAATTTGTCTATTGATTCATTATGAGCAATATTGAGATATAATGTATCAGTGATAGAAAATAGTTACAACATGATCCAAAGGAAAAAAAATATAATAATAATTTTGACAACCTCCAATCCACCATCTCTTTGGGGTTAATTGTGACCACACGTCATTGCAATAAAAATATGTATTGGATACAAATAGCCAAAAAAACAAAACTCTTTTGCATGTGGCTTTCTATGGAAATAATGGTCAAAACAGAATGCGAGCACACAACACATAAACATCACTCGATCATCTCACATAAAAGACCTCCACACCAGTGTCCCTTACCAGACCAGGTCCTCTCTGCACATGGCCCCAGGGCAGTGTGTGTACGCAATTGTCATCTCTCCCTTCCTTCCTTGATCCCCTGCACCTTATTAAAACCATTCCTTCGGGAGAGCAGACGAGCATGTCAAAAGAAAGCCCCCCAAAAAAAACCAGGCCAAGCCAACCCAGGGAAGGTGACCACACTGCCACCATCATCTCCATCACAGGACGAGGCAAATGTGTGTGTTGGTGTGTGTGTGTGTGTGTGTGAGAGAGAGAGGAGGGGTTGTCTGGGCTATAGGAGGACCCCTGATGTCCCTGTGATTCCTTTGTCAGTGCGAGTTAATGGAAGTCCCAGCGGTGCGGCGCGTTCCAAGCCTTATCAGAGGCAGGCATTCGGCCCAGGTCTGATGCTACTGCCGGGGTTAATATTGATTGTGTTAGCTCCTGTTAGCGCCTGACGATATAAGGACAGGACAAAGGACATGCGCTTTGGATCACAACATTTTACAGCCTTGTGTCGATATAGATTAAAAACAATGTTCAGTGAGCGCATATGCAAAACACTTCCCACGTCCAATTTACTTTGAATGATGAAAACGCATACGGTGTGAAATTACAGTCCATTTGACAGTATATCACATCATTTCCAATCCGGTTAGGCTGGCATGAAAGTAAACCAGAAGTAAACCAGATCCTATTGAGACGTGGCGATCAGATGCATTTAAGAGCACAGAGAAAAGCCATACTTGATGAATGAATATACAGCCACCAAGAAGATAGTTGCCCCACGGTGAAAGCCCCCCTCACTCGCTGGAACTGTCCAGAAGAATTCTTATGGTCTGAAAAGGGGTGGGCGATATATATCGTGGACGATAATATTGCGAAAGTGAATTTGAAGATATGTCCAAAACATAATACAATTAGAGCAAGCAAGATGCCCATCACTGCTTTATTTGTACATTTCAGTAAATATTGAGCCTTTCTTTTTTAGTCAAAGCAAGCCTTTCCGGATGTGTTCTTTCCGTGTTGAATTAGGTTTTTTAATGTTAATAGATGTTTGTGCATTTTTTGCAAAGAAGTGTGAAGCACTTTACAAATAAAAAGCTTCATTTTGATCTACACTGTATCTATCTTATTAGGTTTATAGATTAAAGATGTATCATATTTTAGTTGAATACCTAAACATATATTTTATGTTTGCAAGTTCTCTATCTCCCAATTCCAAATCTCACATCAGGGGCTCACTTGTCTTTACAGATTTAGTTGCTTCGGACGATGGATGAAATGCAGGATAACATATTTCCCAAGACTCAAAACATAGTAGACCTAAACCTTAAAGGAAAGATGCCCAGAGTGGAGCAGATTGTAGCCTCATCTTAAGCCTCCTCCCTCTCTCCGCCTGCACATGCTCACAGTGCGCACCACTCTCCCACTGCCAACCAGTTTATGTAAAAGTGATTAACAGTAATTAATCCTTAATCACCATGATTAGCCAAGTCGCAGTAAATTAAGCCACATCTGGAGAGGCTGAGGGCTGGAGAGTGGCAGCCTGCTCAATCCAAGCGCTGTTTAGGGAGGCCTACCTGCGGTTTAATTAGGACCACCGCAGCTCTGTTAGGCCAGCAGTTCAGAACTTAAAATGCTTCTAAGAGATGCAAGAATTATATATGCATCAAAGAAGTCATCATAATTAATTATTTAGAGAAAAATCCTAAGAGAACAGGTAAGGCTTTTGATCATTATTCAAAGGTTCACAGAGTAGTAATAGATCTTCCTTAGGCTTCCTTATTTGTTGTGTCCTAGTGGTACAAAATTAATGGACTACTTATTTTTTTACGTAATAAAGTAAAATTTATGGTTCACCAACACTACAAATAAAAACGAATCGGATTTTTCTTGAGAACATACCAGTTAGCAATGTTAGTGCGCTCCTTGCGTTAGCAGGCTAACATTTCAATGACCTCAAACCTATATTTTGGCTTGTGAAGCATGACAATAAACCTAAAATTGGAACAGGACTGTTTACATAAGGCTTTCTCGCATTATTTAATATCTAGACCAACCATGTTTCTCCTACTTTTGGAAATAATAACAGTAGCCAGAACAGCAATATATAAAAAATCCTCAAAAATCCAAATACTTCTGTATTTCAACCAAACAAACTTGTTTACGCTATTTAGTATTTGCACATAACGAACAGTCTGAAAGCTCATCTCAAGTCACCAATTGTGGAACCTACCGATACCAAAAAGACGTACTAACTTTGGTGGGACTGTACAAAAATGGGTGGTATAGTCTATATCCGATAACGCTGAAAGATTGCCTTACAAGCAGCTTAAAGGAGACTCCTGATTTCATCTAATGATTATCTTAACCTAGACACTTGTTGAAAAAAGTGGGAAAGAAAACCCTTTATGGAACAATACAAGCGCCATAAAAAAGGTCAAATCCAGCTAGTTCTCATTCATAGCAGCAAGTGCAGAGTGCAATACTGTGTCATGTGCAATAGAAGACTGTGCAATAGTGGGGAGAATGCAATGAACTTGTGATTTTTGACAATGAACTGAGCAATAATACTGTGTGTGTGAACTGTGGCCTGTCTTTGAATGTGAACTCTTGTAGTTTGAATGTACTGTATGTTTTCCTCTATTTGTATGTAGCATCTGTGGAATCTGGCATTTTTCTCATGTCTGCTCATTCATATGCATTGTCCCAATCAAATAAATAAATACAATACACATTCAAACTGAAAACTCTCTTTCCAGATAAACACAAGGCCTTGAACAGTCATACACCTCAGTACCCTCAATCCTTGTCCCTGCTGCTATTGCCGGCTGATTGGTTGATTCCTGGCGACGTCCTGGCGTGTTTAGTATGCCACGTAAATGAAACGGGACCGTCGCCTTCGCCCCCCTGGAGAGCACCCCTCCATGCGCTGTCTCTCTTCCCGTTACACCGCCCCAGATTAATTACACACTTTAATGAGCTGAATTATTAATGGAGCTCTTACTTGGCAGTTTAAGGAAACGCAGAGAGGACAGAGCAGCAAATGTTAAAATATCCCACAATTCCTCTGGGACTGAGGTTATTTAGAGATGGGACTGGTATTTGTGCATATTGATAGAGGTAAGAATAGTTGAACCAGAAAGGGTTGATGCCATAAGGAGGAGTAATGAGAGATGCGCCTACACAGTTTTTTTCAGTTTTATTTCAGATACCTAGGGTTTAACGTCGCTTTGTATCCACGGAAACTGGAAAGAGCCTTCCTCACTGCATATGACCTATAAATGGTCTCAGTTTTACCCAGTGCTTTTCTCTCTTCAAGGCACTCGAAGTACTTCATATCAATGAATCGCTCGGCCATTCACACCCAAGTGTAAGCAGACACCAGGGACGAGATGGGCTAAGTGTCTTGCCCAAGGACACAACTGTGACATTAAGTTGAGGCAGCTGGATTCACACTTTGCCAAACAATATTGAGTCCCACAGGAATCAAACCCCGGACCTTACCACATCAAGTATGATCTAATTATTTTCCCAGAAATGTGTGATGAAAACATTTGAAAAAACATGAAGGCCTTTCAGATATGAGAATATTATGGCGGCTTTGTGAATCTAATAATTTTCTTTTACTTTTTACTTATTATTAACCTTTCCCTTTATACAGCGTCTTTGAGTGTCCAAAAAAAGCGCTATATAGGTAGAGTGTATTATTATTTTCATTAGTTTCGAATGATGATCTGGGATAACATTTGCACAATTTCAGCAGCTCTTTCAAAAATGCCTAGCTCCCATTGAGTTGGCCCTCTCCTCCAACTGAAATGGTTTTCTACATAATTAACACAACCCATAACCAATGTACAATCCAATCCACTATAAAACACATATAGCCAAACATAAACAGTTTGCAAAATTCTGCACAGAAAGATAAAACCAGAGTAATACAAATAATTCATAATCATCAACTCTAGTAGTGAATCAACAAAATATACTAAAAAGAGATATGGAATGTACGCAAAATGAGTACAATAAAAATAATACAACAACAATAGAATACCTTACTTAAAAAAATGAAAATAATAATCAGGAGACAGAGGAGCGCAAGTTTTATATCATCCCAAGCTAAAAGTGATAACATCTCCACAAGCCGGTAGTGGACCAGAAAAGTCACACAATACAACTTAGCTATGCACACTTTATCATAAAAAAACAACTCCTAAAAGTATATGCTGACCAAAACAAGCCAACCAGTTTGTAACGCACGTCTAGTTTTGAGCCACAAGACCCCAAAACAACCACATTATGGAGAGAATAGCAGTACGGACCTCTAGTGTAAGACATTATGTCATTATTAGCGCACTCCCAGGGAAAATGAGAGGCCATTGAACGCGACTGCCGCCCGGAAAAGCAGCTCTTTGTGATTGTTCAGCACAGATGGGGGCAATAGCATCCGAAATGAGCTGGACTAGATCCGCAGTCAAATGAATGAAGAGCTGGGTAATTTGCAGGTGAATATGTCTCATTCCCATCTCCCAGACGAGAAATGCTTTTATCTGACGCAACGCCGGCACTTCAGGCAGCAAGCGCGTTCGTCAGAATTAGGAATATGGGAAATGGCCATCAGAAAAGCAGCAGGAGAGAAGGAGATTATTCCTGCAATATCACAGGTGTTGATAAGAAGACTGTCACAAAAAAAGAGAGAGGAAGTGGGAACAGATAATGTGTGATAGTGGATGATGAAGCTAGATTTACATTTGTGCTTGGTTAGATTCAGTCTTCTTGCCATCAGTGTTGTTTTAGATGTAATGGAAGAAATAAACGTGTAAAAAATAAAATAAAAATCAAGATACAGTAAGACCTGGGCAAACTGCAGGGCTGGGGGCCACGAGCGGCCCTATTCACATTTCTATGCGACCCCAGGACCCTTACCAGTAATAATTGGTCAAAAACATGAATATGTAAAGCAGTTAAAACGACTCAGCCTGCTTTGGCCCAATTCTGGTTCAATCCAATACTCTGGGTTCTTGCAGTTGTTAAAAGCGCTGTCACTGAAGCAAATATGTAATTATGTAGAAAAATTATTACCAGTTGCTATGTTAAACTGAGGTACCTAATTTTTAAACCACAAAAAATTGAATTAATATTATATGAGATAATGATTCTAACTTTCTCAAAACAGCTTAAATCAGCATTTTCAGACAGTAAAGAGT